AGATGGTAAAATGCAGCTGTTGACATGACAGTGTTTGAAATGCTACTGTTTACATGGAACAAAATTATTCCAATAATTAAACAGTACTGCAGATAATTTTCATTTATATGATCAGAAAAAAAAGAATTATACCAGACTTCCATATGAACATCTGCAGTCAAAAGTCTATCACAGGAGGTTACAGAAGGTTAACTCAGGCTATTTATACCGAGGTAAAAGTTGACAACACTGCTCTGGACAGTTACCCTAGGAGAGAGTCTGAATAGCCATCCCAGTGTGGAGACGTGCCTATTTTTTAATGAAAGCAGCCCTTGAGGCACTTTGCTAACCTGCAGTGAGCAGAGCCACCCTCGTCCCCTGTGGTTCACAGCGACGTGGAGGCAGCTGCAGCCAGGGAGGTCCCCGCAGCGGTGCCCCGGCCACAGGGAGCCCCGGCCCTGCGCCCCCACGCTCCGGCAGCGGGAGCTGAGCTCCTCCCGTTTCAGCTGCAGGAAAGGCTGAGAGCCTGCATCCTGCCTGCTGCTATCATCCCTCAGCGCGTGCGTGTGAGACTGACAGGGCTTGTGAGACTGACGCCTGGGCCGTCGTCTATCCTGGAGAAGGTTACAGTGAGCTCAGAACACAGGGAGCCCCGGCCCTGCGCCCCCACGCTCCGGCAGCGGGAGCTGAGCTCCTCCCGTTTCAGCTGCAGGAAAGGCTGAGAGCCTGCATCCTGCCTGCTGCTATCATCCCTCAGCGCGTGCGTGTGAGACTGACAGGGCTTGTGAGACTGACGCCTGGGCCGTCGTCTATCCTGGAGAAGGTTACAGTGAGCTCAGAAATGCACTGAAGGGCAGATGGATTGGTGTGATCTGCAATTTCATAGCTTTTCCCTGAAGCTAAGGATAGATAGCTACATGTTCTGTTATAAGATAAAGGGACATGGGTGCGTAAATCTGTTGATTTGTTATTGTGACTGAAAGAATTAAAGATCTGGAAAAATCTGCCCGTCCCCTGGGAAAGAGAAGGGTAGGGTGTACTACAACTGCATTCCTCCTGCAGCTGGTTTTGCATGCTTTTGTGTTATCGGTCTGCTGGTCTGCTTGATGGTCTCCAGCCTTGCTCTTCCACAGTCATGACTGGGAACACACCTGTCTCTTAAGATATTTGAAGAATCTGATCCCTCCCAGAAGTAAAACAAACTTTTGTCACCATGGCAAGCTTCTTACTGTGCAGGTTCAGACTTTTCCAGAGTTTTGAAAAAGGTTTGGCTAAGCCCCTCTAAGTTCGCTGAATCTAGATGAAGAATGGGACCTAGTTATAAATAAAAACTCATTCAGAATCTGATTTCTACCCCGTAATTGTCTCTAATCATTGTATCCTAGCAGAGTGGATCCCTGGGCTGAATGTGTCCAAGTGCTCCTATACTACAAATAATTATGATATGTGCTTGTAATGAATCCTCCTAGAATATAGTACCCTAAACACAGTATGGACATCTCTGATAAAAGGGTTTAATCCGTCTTATGATGGTCAAAGATACCTTGAATGTTTTGCACTTCAGGAGCCTTGTACCTGTGCATGAGAAACAAAGAGAGGTTCCAGATAACAATGAAAGGAGGAAAAAAAAATGAAGGACCTATAAGTTGTTTGGTATAGTTCTTAACAGAGGCATAAGAAAGCACTTAAAAGAAATGAAAATTCATCACAAGTTCCAGAATTATTAATCTGTTCTGCTTTGGAAGAGTAATTTCTTTGCAGCAACAAACTGAATTGCTGTTCTGTGAAGGCCTTCCTAGAATGTGTTTAAAGAATACCCTCTCCAACTCAGGAAAACAGGATTATTCTGGAGCAAGGATCAGAATGTCTGCAGATGTGGATGAGGGGTAGTTTTTAGCACTGCAACTTGTGAAGATAAATCACAAGCAATTAATAGACTGAGCACTGGAACAGGCTGCCCAGAGAGGTTGTGGAGTCTCCTTCTCTGGAGATCTTCCAAACCCGCTTGGACGCAGTCCTGTGCCACGTGCTCTGGGTGACCCTGCGTGTGCAGGGGGGTTGGACTAGGTGACCTCTAGAGGTCCCTTCCAACCTTAAGCGTTCTGTGATTCTATGAATAAGAAGTGGTTTATATCTTCTGCAGTTGACTCTTTGCAAGAAGTCTCTTTCTCAAGAGCTGAAGCTGCTGTTGGTAGTCTGCTTGAAAGATGCCTCCTGCTCCATTGAGGGGAAAAAGTAGTATTTCTTACTACACTCCTCTGTATTGGAAGAATTTGAATTGCAGAGTAGACTTAAAAAAAAGCAAAAGTTAAAAGAGAATTTATATGATTTATATGCCAACTTTGTTTAGAAAATACACTAAAATGTGTAGGGACAGTGTAAGTAGGTCTCAGTATTCTCACTATTCTTCACCTTAGAAATAAATTTCTTTGTTGTCATTAAAAACATGCAAAACAGCTGTCTTGAGCATAAATTGTCTGTACATACTTATAGCTCATGTTTACCCTTGTAATCCCTCTTTAGACTGCTTCCTTAAGAATGTTGCTAACAGCACCCGTAACGGCATGTTTGG